TCATAGGTAGCTGGGTTTGGTGCACCTATCTAAGTACGAAACAAAAGAATACAAAAGTAACAGGTCGCCATCTTTCGCACCGATTGCCACTCAAGTGCAAGGGGTCTTTTTAGTGCATTAAAGACGAGACACTGCACACCCTCAAACTCCAAGTCAGTCAGAGGCAGATGTCTCTCTTGCTTTCGAGAGACGGTGCTCGACTTTGCACCCGCAAACGCGGCCTGCTCGCCATGTTCCCGGTGTCTCTCTTGGCGATGTAAAATAGGGGATTGTGCTTGCCATGCATTCCTAGCGCAGGCATAGTGCAAGATATCGCCCTTGTTCATGTCAACGAGAAAATTTGAATTGGTGCTCGTTAGGGCTGAGCTGGTAAGATGTCTTTTAAATCCACATTGAATGACTCTCCCAAAGGGTAACACCTCGTAGGAACTTCCGGGCTGCATCGGAGAGGCAAACCAAAATAACAGGTTGCCAGCAGCAGTTGCACCTCTTGCTATTAAAGCCTTTGTCACTTGCAAGATGCTTGTTTCGCGCATTAAAGACCAGCAAGTGTTCGCGGCAAAAAACTGGATGCAAATGAGAGGCAGGATCGTATCAGACATGGAAGAGGACGCCACCAATAGTTTTCTGTCTCTATTCCTTGCATGAGTGTCGGCCGTCCGGTTGATGCACCGACGTACCCTGTAGCTGAGTTGAACGACATTCCCCAAACCAAGAGCCTGATTCATTGGTAAATAGTTTGGGGCCACTGCAGTTTTGGTCGTCGAGTTCCGAGCTAGCGGGTAGTCGGCGTTTGCATTGCTCTCTAAAATGGCATTTGCCCAGTCCAGGATGTCTCGGGTGAACCTGACCGAGCGAGGTTGTCCGCCAATAATTTGAGTAGGTCAGCCACTGGGGTAGCATCAAGTTCTTCTGTTCCAAACACAAATTCTATAGAGTGGGTTAGTCTTGGCAATGTCACCCGGATGATGTGCTGCTATGTGTCTTCCCTTTCCGAACAAAAACCTTTTTGAAAGCTGGATCGAATGACGCCTCCTAAGTGAAGGATCTAATAGGTAGCTCAAAGCTGCTGCGCTTGAGCAACAAACTGAGTGTCACCGGCATTTGTAATCTTCCTAACATGGGGTGTGCCAAGTTTAAGACATAAATAAAAATATTTGTCCATGTAAAACGAGAGAGAGAGAGAGTCAGGGTGCTGGCCACTTCCTGAGCAGGCCAGTCATAGGGCTGCGGTAGCATTTGGCTCGTGTTGTTTGCCATGCATGGGAAAAGATAAAGCTCCATTTTGTCTTAACACAATTTCCATCCCGTGCGCGGGTCTTGCCTATCTTTGTCCTGCTACTGCTGATGGTGGCTTCTTAATTCCTTGCCATATATGAAGCCTTTTGAAGGCCATATCGAACAGCAATTTCCAATTTAAAAGGTTGTTCGGGCCTCATGTAGCAGGTAACTTGGGGGCTGGTACAGTGGTAAATATCCAGCCTCTTCACCGCTGGCAAACACGGCCTTTGCGAAGTTCCCGATGTCTCTCTTGACGCATTCGTAGCGCAATCATAGTGCAAGATATCGCTCTTGTCCAAATCATCAAGAACGTTTGAAATGGTGCTCGCCAAGGCTGAGCTTGTACGATGTTTTTTAAACCAAGATCAAATGACTCTCCCCGAGCGAAACACCTCCTAGGAATTTCAGGGCTGTTGCATCTAAGAAGCAAGCTGAAGCATTTTGCACCTTTTGCTATCAAGGCGATTGGCAGGTGCAAGATTTGTTCTGGGGGCAGTTATATATGTGGAACATTGTGGAAAAATAGATGGTGCTTGCCACGCCTGGGTGATTCAGAGGGCTGTGCTAGCACGGAGCCTTTTGAAGTCCGCATCAAATGAAGTTCTGTAAGTGAAGGATCATAGAGGTAGCTCGGCTTACACTTAAGAGCCCCATCAAAAGTAACAGGACACCTCAACTTGCAGTGCATGGTAGTAAGGTGTTGCCCAGGTGCAAGATGTTTCCTTGGTGCGTTTGAATCTGTACGGAAGAACTGTTCAGATTCAAAATGCACGTCTTCGCATTGTGAGTCTTGACCATCCAGTTCCCTTGAGCGTGCTGCGTTGCATGCCTTTTCTTGCGAGAGTGAAGAAGCCTTTCGGAGGCCGAACACACCCTGCAAGATGAACCTTAGTAGTGCAAAGCCGAGGCTGCTCACCTCACCTGCACTCAAGCACTAAACTAAGTCGGTGTTGTAGGTCATCATTCCCGCCAAATCTTCTTTGTCCAAAGCAGAGAGAGGGTGCGCCGGCAGTAGGACAGTGGAGAGGCCGTAGTGGAATCAAGAGCCTATTTTGCCAGCCATAAATCTGGATAGGGAAGGCTTCTTTTGCTCTGAAAGGAAGCGTTTCTATATATGTGGTTCAGTCTCGCCGTTAGATGGATAGCAGGTCACCCGCATTTGCACCGGCTAAAACTTCGTCTTGTCCATGTCATCGAGAGATGGTGTTTGCCAGAGCACGAGTAGGTCAGTCACAGGGCTAGCATTGAAGTCGTTTTAAATGTCTTCATCGAATCCCTCTCCCCAAGCGAATCGCCTAGTAGGTAGCAGATTCAATGTAGTTCAGTCCTATCCTGCGTGGCAGTCCTGACCATGTCTTTCCTGTTGATGTGCTTAGTGCTGCGTGTTTAGTCCAGTTTATTCCTTTCCTCCAAAGGAACGCTTCCTAAGTGAAGGAGCCCTTCAGCAACAGACTGAGAGTGCAGGTCACCGGCAATTGCATGGCTTCCTAACATGGGGTTTGGCAAGTTACAAATGTATCATTTGTCCATGTCCAACGTGTTCTTGGCAATGCATGGGAAAAGAGAAAGCTCCATTTGGTTTTGACACAAATTCTCTTCTTTGCGCCAATCTTGCCTGTCTTTATCCTGTTGATGGTGGCGCCTTTTTTCCTTGCCTAATATGACACCTTCTGGAAGCCATCATATGAACAATCCCCCCGTAAAGGACCTCATAAATATAGTACAATAAAGTCGCACATATCCACCATTTGCACTGCCAACGTGGCCTGCTCGCCAAGTTTAAGACGCCTCTCTTGTCGTCGCCATGTAAAACAAGACAGAGGCGCTCGACAGAGCAGGAGTAGCTGAGTCACAGGGCTGTTGCACCGCTTGAAGCCTTTGGGAACTCCGCATTGAATGACTCCTCCCAAGCAAAACACCTCGTAGCTATTTCGGGGCTGTTGCATCTAAGAAGCAAGCAAAAGTAACAGGTCAGGAGAATGTTTCCGCTTGCTACTAAAGTGTTTGCCAGGTGCAAGATGTAGTTTTGGGCGCAATTAAGACAAGAGAGGGTGCGTGGCAAACTCAAGCAGGTCAGTCACAGGGTGGTGCTGGTATGGTGCCCCAGCTTTGGCGGCAAATGGGAGACATGATGCGCCCAAGCATTTTGAGAGCCATCGAAAAGGATGGCTCCAAATGCCTTTTGCCTACATTCTCTATTCCTGGCGTCAGTCTCGCCCATCCGATGCACTGCCTCTTGGCGCCTGCCTGATGGCCAGTCCGCCGATTTTTGGTGACACGAACCACAAGCAAAGGACTTGTAGTTTGGGCCACCGGCGGTTAAGTGGATAGCAGGTGATCTGCATTTGCACCGGCTAAAACTTCGTCTTGTCCATGTCATCGAGAGATGGTGTTTTCCAGAGCACGAGTAGGTCAGTCACAGGGCTAGCATTGAAGTCGTTTGAAAAGTCATCATCGAATCACTCTCCCCAAGCGAATCGCCTAGTAGGTAGCAGATTCAATGTAGTTCAGTCCTATCCTGCGTGGCAGTCCTGACCATGTCTTTCCTCTTGATGTGCTGAGTGCTGCAGTTTTCTTCCTTTTCTGCAAGGAACGCTTCCTAAGTGAAGGAGGCCTTTAGCAACTGACTGAGAGTGCAGGTCACCGGCAATTGCATGGCTTCCTAACCTGGGGTTTGGGCAAGTTACACATGTATCATTTGTCCATGTACAACGTGTTCTTGGCAATGCATGGGAATAGAGAAAGCTCATTTGGTTTTGACACAAATTCTCTTCTTTGCGCCAATCTTGCCTGTCTTTATCCTGTTGATGGTGGCGCCTTTGTTCCTTGCCTAACATGACACCTTCTGGAAGCCATGTGAACAATCCCCTGGTGAACGACCTCATAAATGTAGTACAATAAAGTAGCACATGTCCAGCATGTGCACTGCCAACGTGGCCTGCTTGCCAAGCTTAAGACGCCTCTCTTGTCGTCGCCATGTAAAACAAGACAGAGGCGCTCGACAGAGCAGGAGTAGCTGAGTCACAGGGCTGTTGCACCGCTTGAATGACTCCTCCCAAGCAAAACACCTCGTAGCTATTTCGGGGCTGTTGCATCTAAGAAGCAAGCTAAAGCATTCGCACATGCACCGCTTGCTATTGAGGCGTTTCCCAGGTGTAAGATTCCGTTTGGGGTGCGTTAGTTGTGCAGCAATGCGGAACAATCGACGGTGCTTGCCACATGCTACAGCCTAAGTGGTTGGTCAGAGAACTGTGTCACAGCATGAAGCCTGTTGAAGTTTGCATCGAATGACGCTCCCTAAGCGAAGGACCTCATTCACAGGTAGCCTGGCCTGCACTTAAGAACCTTAGTAAAAGTAACATGCTGCCGGCATTTGCGCTGCTTACCAGGGTGGAGTTTGCCAAGTTTAAGATGTCTCTTCTTTCCACTGTCCATATAAAGCAAGAGGGGTGCTGCCATACCTGAGCATGTCAGTCGTAGGGCTGCAGTAGCATCAAGCTTGCAATTGTTGCAATGCCTGGGGAAGGAGAAAGCTGTGTTTGGGCTTAACCCAAGTTCTATTCTGTGCACCAGCCTTGCCTGTTTTTGTCCTGTTGACGGTGGCTTCTTTTTCCCTTGCCTGTTATTATATCAAAGGGCAACCTCCAAGTGAAGGACTTCATACAGCAGGTCACTAGGGGCTTGCACGGTTCAGTGTCAGCATTTGCACCGCTGGCAACATGGCCTTCGCCAAGTTCAGGGTGTCTCTCTCGCCCATGGTGTTTTAAATGTGCTCGCCTGAGCCCTTTGAAGGTCAATCACAGAGCTGTCCATCAGCGTTAAGCTTGTTATTTTAGCGGCATTGGACTGGGAAAGAGAATGTCCCATGTGCTTCTAACTTTATTTGACATAACTTCTATTTGTCAACATCATTCTGAAGTGCGGTGAAACGAGCGAGAAACAGTCTTGTGACATTGTGTCAGTTTGTACCAAGTCTGGCCATGTATCAGTCTGGGCACGTGGCTTCCTTGTTTGAAACAAAGCCATTTGAAGGCCACATCCGATGACACTTCCTAAGTCAACAACCTGATAGGTAGTCGGTGCTGGTGTCAAACTGAGATCGCAGGCAGTCAACAATTGGTGTGTAGATTTGCAATGACTGACCATACAATTCCTATAAAGTAGGCTTGCTGTGATCGTTGCATAAACAGGGCAATCTGATTGAATACCCCTGGAAAACCAAAGTGAGTGCCTTTGTGTGGAAAGCCATGAGCAGGAATTCAGTTGAGCACTGTGTACCAGTGTTTGCCATCTATACCCCACCTGATATGATGACTTTTGAACGTCGCATCGGACTATGCGTCAAGGACCTTATGGTAGCCAGTGCTGGTGTGGTTAAGAGCCAAACTGAGATCGCAGGTAGTCAACATTTGGGCCTTTGTGTATAGAGTGGCAATGATTGACCCATACAAGTCCTACGAACTAGGCTTGCTGTGATCATTGCATAAGCTGGGCAATCTCGACATCTGCCAGGTGCATGCATGATTGAATGCCCCTGGAAAACCAAAGCGAGCGCCTTTCTGTGGATGGAAAGCCATCAGCAGGAATTCAGTTGAGCACTGTGTACCAGTGTTTGCCATCTATACCCCACCTGATATGATGACTTTTGAACGCCGCATCGGACTATGCGTCAAGGACCTTATGGTGTGCTGGTGTGGTTAAGAACCAAACTAAGATCGCAGGTAGTCTTGGACCGCTGTGTATAGGTTTGAAATGATTGACCCATACCATACAAGTCGCACAAACTAGGTTTGCTGTGATCGTTGCATAAACTGGGCAATCTCGACATTTGCCAGTTGCATGATTCACAACGCATGGGAAAGTCAGAGAAGAGAGTGCTTAGCAAAGCGTGAGAAGGTCAGTCGCCTGGCAATGATGTCAGGCTTACTTTTGGTCACAACACATGGGGAAAGATCAAGCAGCATTTGTTCAATTGCACTCCTTGCCACGACCAAATGAATTTCCAGGCTATGGTGATGGGTGCTTTGATACGTTGAATGAAGATTGACCATCTAGCAAGCTCTGGTTGGTATCCACCCCATCAGCAAATGGAGCGAAGAAGGTAAACCGAGATTGATCGCTTCAATGACCTTCGGTAGAGACTTCATCACATTCCCATGTCGGATTCCCATCTCTCTGTATTTGTATTGGCTCTAGAGGTCCGCTCTGCCGGACTCCTGGTCGTGTATCTTGTCGGAGATGTGCTGCGAGACCGTGCGCGCCTGATTCAGCCAGGTCGGTAGAAAGCAGCGTATCCGTCCTGAGTCAGAAGAAACTGAACAGATCGTGAGTTTGATGCTCTAGTTCCCTAAATGATGTTGAATGACCGAATAACCTAGCAGCCACTGAAAGCGTTGGCAATGAGACACTATCCAATTGAATCTACTTACCAAAATGCCCTCAAAAGAGCTGTTTTGCCCACGCAACGCAGCGCAAAACGGATCTCTTCTTTTTGAACTTTCAACGGGGGACCTTTTAAGGCGCGAACCCCAAAGAAAGCCACAGACAGAGACGTGGTTTTCGTGGCAGCCCCGTGGATTCGAGTTCTCTCCCACTTCAAATGGCTCAAACATCCTCTTCTGAAAGGAACAAGGCCTAACCACTCATGCTCGATTTGGTGCTGATTTCTTTGGAGTTGAATGCCTTTCGATCAGGCTCTTGGATTCCTATTGAGGATCGTTTTTCATCCAACCTATGCCACAGCAGCTGATGCCGCATCGGAGCCACTGTCACAATGGTTCGTGCACCCACTTGTTTGACATGCAACTAATGTGTCCCAGAGCACCTGCAGCACTGGAGCTTCCCGCAACAGCATTATCCGGCATTACGCCCGCAATTCACCAGGAACCTTTGCACAGCAATCGAGTTGTCGGAGAGTTCTGCAACAAGAGTGATCAGCTTGGGGACAGTCAAGCTATTGCAGACTGCTGCACAAAGCATAGGTCATCGAACGCATTTCAATACAGCTGGGTATATATTTGAGACTTCCGCATATAGGACATTCACTGAGGAAGAACCTTGCTAGTTCGGCTATAGGGGCACTGCTTGCAAGGTTGAACAGCATTGATTGCAAGAGCTTCAAGCATAACAAGTGTCACAATGGATTGTGCGCCCAGTTGCTTGACATCCCACTGATGTGTCCTAGGATTCTGGCTGCCATGGAGCTTCCATCAACAGTCTTACCCTGCATTATGCGCTCGATCTGGCAGGAACATTTGCGCGGGAATCGGCTTTCTTTGCAAACATTGCAGACAAAAGGAGCTTGGGGTTTAGCTATAGGTCCAAGCTTAAACAGCATTAAGCATCGGAGCCACTGTCACAATGGTTCGTGCACTCAGTTGCTTGACATGCAACTGATGTGTTCCAGAGCACCTGCAGCACTGGAGCTTCCCGCAACAGCATTATCCGGCATTACGCCCACGATTCACCAGGAACCTTTGCACAGCAATCGAGTTGTCGGAGAGTTCTGCAACGAGAGTGATCAGCTTGGGGACAAACAAGCTATTGCTGACTGCTGCACAAAGCATAGGTCATCGAACGCATTTCAATACAGCGGGGTATATATTTGAGACTTTCGCATATAGGACATTCACTGAGGAAGAGCCTTGCTAGTTCGGCTATAGGGGCACTGCTTGCAAGGTTGAACAGCATTGATTGCAAGAGCTTCAAGCATAACAAGTGTCACAATGGATCGTGCGCCCAGTTGCTTGACATCCCACTGATGTGTCCTAGGATTCTGGCTGCCATTTAGCTTCCAGCAATAGTCTCGCTAGTTGTCGACATGGAACAGGCTGTTGCATTGCTCCTGTTTCTGCCGTCAGAGCCAAGCGAATGAGTGATGCTTACAGTGCCCAACGATCAAAAATCTTTGTGGCTGTCTTTGCCAACCCATTCGCAGAGAGGAGGATTGGTGAAAACCACATGAGCCAGGTGAAAAACCAACATTTACTCGAGCTCTGCCGCAGTGTCACATCGCTCGGCGTTTTCCTAAAGTTCCGTAAGCCACGCCAGAGGGGGCCACACCGGGGGCCACACCAGGCCACAGTTGTGTTGAACTGGCGACCAAACCCATAGGCTCGGCTTGTAAGGTGAAGCTTTTGAGGACCTGTATTTGCGAGAGGTTGAGATTCGTCGTGCAAAAGGCCACAAATCCTCGCCGACCCAAAATGCCACCAATGTGCGTCCGCCTGGCGTACACAGGAATTCGTTCCTGGCGTGCGGCTCAGCTCGGAATGGCTATCCCGGCTATCAAATCATCTTGTGTTTTTTGTGGGAATGTTGGCTTCGAGCGTAAGCAACTCTGCCACAAAAGAAGCTGGTGCAAGCATTCTGTTGACACAAACAGTCGGTTTGCATAAAGTCCTTCCGCGTCAGGCTACCTACGACCTTGCCCTGTAAGCAAAATGTGTGGTCCCTCGAGCTGGCGTAAGCAGCCTACATAAACACGACTCACACAAAAATTAATACATGGCGTCCATGTGACCTTTTTTTACTAAACGTAATCGCGGCATCGGGACTCCTTCCAAGCGATACGGCATCGAAATCGCAAAGAGCCCACGTGACACCGGCGGAGGCCCGGTGACGCTCTGGGTCTTGGAGGTGACATGTGGATCAGAGAGTCCATAGTCACAGGCCTAGGGCGGTTTCTTTGGAATGCAGGGCAAGAAGTCTTAGATACATCGGGAAGGATCAGTTTTTTCAGGAGGGCAAGCGCCCAGACACCTACATTTTTTCACGCACCTGTCGTTTCACGGCCTTGGCACTCTGAGCGCCTTGGGGTATGCCTCAGGCCCCGAGGCTGAACCACGAGCTGTAGCAAGAAAGGCTCTTTCGTGCACTGGGGGGAGGTTTCTGCGATTGAAAAGCCAAAGCTGTGACTGGGAACTGTCGAGCTGCGCGGCGGTCATGAAATGTGCACAGAATATCACACCGTCTTGTTTGGTGAGACTTTCGTCAATTGCGAAGACAGAGCAGATGCGACGGTCTGGTGGGCAGGCCAAAGTTTGTCTTTGTGCCTGAAGCTTTCATTTATTCCAGTGCCGGTGGGGTGTATGGCTGGCTGCACACCGGGACCCGTGGACAGGGCTGGACAGTCTTCGCGGCACCTAGATGCCCTGCGATGGAAGAGCTTGCTGCAGCTTGCTAACTCTCAACAAGTCTGCCTTTACGTCAGGTGTGCAGTCCAGTGTGTGCCCGGGCGGGTGACTGCGGACGATGACACTTCCCAGATATCCTCCGGCTTCATGAGACAATGACTTCCAAGCTCACCCTTCTCTCGCCGCTGGCGTGCCTATTAAGGAGTGCTCTTTTTTAGCTAGACGCAGAACATATTCTTTGGAGGTCATGGGCCATTTTTGGCAGAACCGGCTTCTTGGCTTCAGAAGATACTTTCAGAATCTTTCAGAACAAAAGTCTCTTGGCAAGGTCTTGTTTCTCTTGCAGGGTCCGAAATCCACTGTGGTCCCCCTTGTTTGTTTCTCCGCCATTTGTTTCGTTCCGCCTGGCCCCAGCTCGTAGGGTTGATCGAGCCCTCGTTCTTTGAACATTGGGATCACCACAATGAGATAGAATAGACTTATGATGTACCTTACAGCCTACCTCTGAAATCTCAAGGATTCATAAAAAAGCAAAAAACTAGCTTTAGCGTACATCATAAGAATAGACAAGTTGAATGTCCAAAATCCTGCACCACCTCTGAATGATGAGGCATAGCGGACAGACATTGAATAAGGGCTGCAGGTGTTTGCTACATAATCCTTGCGGGGTGCACTGATGAGGTGGCGCAGGATTTTGGAACCATGCCACGCTAGCTCAGCTCAATCAGAAGCAGATCTTCAGCTCAGCGTGTCCGGACGGACATCATCTCACCGAAATGTCAGAGGGTCTCATTGTGTTTTGTACCATGCCTTAACTAATCATTAATCTGGGCCCTTCTCAGTTCTGTGGTTAACTATATGGATTATTTGGGATTAATGTCCTAAAAGTCGTGCAATAACAAACAAAAACCCTGGAGGGGGGTCCATGATAAGAAGCTATACAAAAGCACTCAAAAAAGGTTGCATGATGAAATGCATAAACTCCCCGGTGGATTCATTATAAATACCTCTTTGACAAAAATTGAGAGGAGTCAGAGAACCTGGCTATTGTACCTGTTGATCAATCAGTTTCATGTTTATGTTTATTGATTGAACCTCAACTTGCTTGCTGCACATTACTTGTGCTGGCTCTACATGGCTCTACGACCCAAAACAAAACACCACAAGAGAGTTCTGTAAGTTACGATTTAACAGAGAAGTTACATGAATATAATCCTACAAGAAAGACATGGAAACAGACCATAGCACATTCAGTAGGATGCCAAAGGCGATGGATACGCCACACGCACCAAACTTCTGACTGAATTCTTGTTAGGTCTCAAAACCCCTTTGTTTCAGCTCCCGCTGAACAGTTGAAGTGCCCTAGATTAGAAAACCCAATTATATAATCCGGGGTAGGGGTTCACTTCCCCTATAAGTTAAGCATACTGTATATTTAGGGGGCTACCACCCGCTGCCGGCCGACCCCTGAGAGAGGTCCATAGTGGTGGAATATGTGGAAGATGAGATGAGACTTCCTCCTGGTTTGGTAGAGAGTCATGAACGTACTTGAAGTCATCGTGGTTCATCAACCTTTTGATCGACGGATGTTGGGATATCTCCCATTAGAATTCATTTGCAAAGATGTCTCCTTTTGCGGTGCTTCCATCTCATGCATGTCCATTATGTCATGTGTGTTTATACAGGGATATACAGGGGACTCTTCAACAACCGACTTTGAGTTGATGTTTCTCCAATTCCCGCCATTCATTTAGGAGATCGAAGTTGAAGCCATATTTATGCGGCCCACGCCGGAGAAGTTCTCCGACGCTTCAACGCTTCTCTAAGGCTGCACATGCCGCACTATCCGCGTCGTTCGGTTTCTTTTCTTCGGCTGCAGCGGCAACTCGCCGAACAGGCACCACACATGGCCGCTAGGGGATCGCGCCCGCGGGCTCCTACCGTGTAGGCAGCGCGCCCAACACCGCGCAGCAATGGGAGGAGTCGAACGCAGAGGGTAATCAAACCCCCCACCAAATCCTGGGCAACGCTTTCCCGCAGAGTTAATGTTGACGGCCCCGCAAAATGAAGAAATTTAGACAAATGTCACTGAAGCGGAGTTTTTTGGCAAGTGTTTGTCAATGTGACGGCAGCGTGACATCGCCCACCGCTCACCGGAGTCCTTCAACAGGAACACGCCCGCCCTGGTCCGCTCACGCTCACTGACGTTCATCAGCCTAGACAGGGGTCGGCGGATTACTTTACTCTTATGAGCCTCACACTCCGTTGTCTACTTGATGCTATTTTCTCCAAGTAGGGACTGCTTGGGCTTCTGAAATGTTTTTTCGATGTTTTTTGCACCATACGTCGATCATCGTCGATCTCTGAGGCGAGTTTGCACTTGAGTGACTGGGATCCATGGCGTCAAGGAAACGGTGAGGATGTGAAAGGCAAATTGTCTGGCCTCGCTGCCTCACCATGAAATTATTCGGTTGTTTTTCTCGATTGATCAGTCTGAAGGTAAAAAGCTGTTGAAAAGGAAAAGAGTGTCTGGATCTATGTTATTTGCGAAATATTTGTTGCCTCATTGACATGTCATGCTTGCTTCATTTATGTTAATATAGCTTATGTTTAAATATATTTACGTTCTCGTATTTTTGAAATAACCATAAAGGACCGGATATGCCCACATGTGAAGAGGAATGATAGCGGATGAGTGCGAGAGTGTGATTGTGAGCAAAGAGGAGAAGTGAGGTCAGGTCAGGGTGAGGGTGAGGGTGCGGGTGAGGAAGGTGAAGAGGGTGAGGGTGGTGAGGGTGAATTGTTTGGTGGGGGTGTGTATGAAATGATGTAAAACAATTTGTTGAAATGAATTTGAATATATAGATACGAATTTATGTCTGGGAAAATATATTACCCGTCATACATGTAATTTAAAAAGTGTTCTGGAAATATATTCTTAAGACATACAAATATTATAGAAATGTATGTTAAGCTTTATATATTATATAATCGTATTCAATTTATTATACGTATTTTTTTGAAGAATGAAGAATTTTTATGTTTCTATATATATTATATATTCGTTGAATATATTTTGGAAAATCTTAATCTAAATGTATATTTAATAGTATTTAGTATAAGATAAATTTATATAGCTACTGAATGAGTATTTAATAGCTACTGAATGAGTATTTAAAATAGAAGAATATTTTAATATATGTAGAAATAAGAAAACAAATCGATTTAACTATAAAATATGTTGTAAATATATTTGTAGTTATATAATATTTGAGATTGAATAGTTTAATCTAATGGAAAATTGTTTACAAAATATACGATTAAGTCGAAGTCGAAAAGTTGGTAATAAGATGCGTTTTTTCGTGTTACGAGTTAAGCGGTTATTGGTTTAAGATATGTAGATTCTTTTAGTTATAAGCAAGGTAAAACGAATGGGTTTCGGTGTTTGAAGGATATATCGTTATTTATATGTGTATATATATAACGGAATTATATTTATATCGATTATATTTATATCGATGGAAAAAATGGGAAGAATACAGGTAATATTTATAAAGAATTTATTTAAGGTCGTGGGCGCAAATGTTGTAAGGTAGAAGGTATGTTGATAATATATTGATTGGCGCGTTGGTAGTTCGAATGATAATTATTTTCCGTGGTTGGTAGGATTCAAATTTTGGTATTTGATTGTATATTTTAGTTAGGGATTCGAATTTCATTTTGGTATCGAATTTTTATCATTTTTGGTGTTTTCGGTAGCGTTGGAAATGTGTTTTAAAATATTTGTGTTGGTCGAATAGGCGTTGTTTTGTTTTTTGTAATTGATTTGTTAGGGGGAATGTTTTGTATTTTGAATTAAATTGTTTTCGGTGTTTGAAGGGAAATAGAAATATGTAAATTATTGTATAAATTGTAAATATTGATTTTATTTTTGACGTTAGGAATTTCTTATTTGATCCGGAAATTTATGATATAATATGATATATGTAATTATGAGGGTGAAATTTGTAAGGAAGATTAAATTATTGTTATTTATTAGATGATTTTGAAATTGATTTTATTGAATGGTAATGATTATGGAAGCTAATAAAACGATTGTGACCATTTGGATTATTGGTTTTGTGTAAGCGTAGCGTATTTCGTTTTGATTTTTTTTTTCTAATGTTGGGATTCTATTTTAGGTATGTTATATGAATTTATAAATTTTGTATTAATATATTTGTCGTATTTTATTTTATTATATTGTTTATAGGATAGAGAATTTAAAATTTAGGAAATTATTCTTTTTAGAATTTTTTTGATTAAAAGGTTTTATAATATTTTGATAACGATAATGAATTATGAAATATATTTTATCTTTGGATTTTAATTGATTTCTAAGGTGATGTAGCATTATTAAATTAATTGTTTTTTAAAATGGGAAGGAATATATTAATATATTTATTTATTTTTTTAAATTTGTTTGGGTTTTAATGGTTAAATTGGTAGAAATTTCTATGAAATTTTTATTTAATGGTCGTTCGTAGAAATTTCTATGATTTTTAATTTCTGAGGTGGTATGCCCCTTCTGCTATGAAGATTTGTTTTATTGATTTGATATGTTTGTTTTGTTGTTGGTGTAATATAGGAATGATATTTATTGATGATATTGTAGAAAATTTCATACGTTAGGAGTTAATCTGTTAATAGGATCTTGAAATTTATGTATTTTGTTTATGTTTATTGCCTATTCTTGTTATCTCGTTGTTTTTAGTGGTCGTACTTAGTGAGGTTGTCGGTGCCCGTTGTCTGTTTGTTTTAGTGGTGCAGAGGCAGTGGATATGTTGTTGTTGATTGATTGGATTAAAGATAATATTTCTTGGAAGGTAGTGTTTACGGATGAATTCATTATTGCGAAGGATTTATTATTTTTGCAATCGTCGAGGATGAAATTGCCGTTTTTTAGCTTCTAGCCGGGTGGTGGCCTCTGGTTGTTAACCTTGGTGAGGTCGGTTCCGTATGTGTTGAGTGTCAAGGTTATTTCCGGGTTAGATGGATTCGTGCGTGGAGCATGTGTTGTCGGTGTTCGCATTGGTGATCCATACCTGATTTGTCCGTGTGTGTTAGGTTGGAGTGATAGGGTCTCTTGTCGGTCGAATCTTGTCCTCTGGTCTTGGAAGTTCTCTATTGGTATTGGTGGTGCGTCGAATTCCTATTGGTATTCTGGAAATTGATCGTTATCGTAATGGATACTAGTTGTGTGGTCGTGTGGCGTGGGTGTTCCATGTATGTTCGGTGGTCGTTCTGATTCATCAATGTTGTCGTATCCAATTATGATCTCTATCATGTTCAATGCAATCAAGGGTGTTCTTGGTTGATGTGCAAGTGGTTCTTATCCCGTGATCTAATTATATTCTTCAACCATTGGTGATGAATTTAATTATGGTAATTGGTGGTTAGTTGGTGTCAATGCCAAAGTGTCGGTCTGTTCTTAGGATGAATGCGGTGCGGTGTTGGCGGTCCATTGGAAGAGCATCGTTCTGGTGGCAATTGATAAAATCCAATCATCTTGGAGGACGATGCGGTTTCTGGTGGGTTGGTATGGCCTCATGACGATTATTCATTTCAGATCTTAAATATTTTGCCATGATGTTCTGCTATCATTGGTAGGTGTATAGAATATTTTTCTGGGTATCATATGTATGGGGTGCCATATTATGTTGTCTTCCTCGATGTCCCAGTAATTTTGTTGTGTTGATTGAGGATCTGGTGTTGTTGTGGTCTCTGTGGTTGGAATTTCTTGTATGTCCTCCTCGTCATCAATTTTAATCTCTATTAATTTTCTTTTATTAAATTTGATGAGACCTATATATATATATTATATTTCTACCACGGTGTTCTCCTGATTTTTTGAGCAGCATGGATCCGTGGATGATCCAATATGTATTTGTTGACGATAATGGCAAGACCTTTCCATCAGATCTTTGGGCCTGCTCCTCCGGGTGTATCTCGCCAGTAGTAGACTTATTGTCCTGTAGAATAGGTGTATTGGATTGCTTGATGTTATCTCTTCTTGAAGTTGTCTAAGGAGTGTTCGGCGTAATCTGGCGTCATTATCTGTTTCGATCACGGAGATGGTTGTTTGTTTTTGCATATTGAATTTATATTCCATGATTTCAATCGGTATTAATTGTGTTGTTGTTAAATTATGATTCATTAGGATATCATGGATGTGTGGTTATTTGCCCATCGCCCATTGTGTGGGGTTGCAGCCTTCTACGTTCGGAATATTGATGATCTATAATTTGAATGAATTGCTTTCGAATGCTTATGTATTGATCGAAATTTTGCTTCTGTTGTTGTGTTGTTATAAATAATTCGATTCCTTGTCGAAGAATTTTGATGTTGTCGTTCGAGCACGCCTGGCCGTGTGTGGGTTGGCCTGGAGAAATCTCCAATTGGATGTCGTGGTCATTGGTCCATATTAAAGAATACATTTTGCAGAAGATTGGATAATTTATTAATATTTCTTAAAAAAATAGTTTATGCTGGAGAATTTAAACACAATTTATCAATATATATATTTTTATTCTATCTTTGTCGAAAAATTTTATTTTATAATAATTCATTTGGATTCAATTTTATATATTCATTATATATATAAATATAGTTATTTAATATTATATATAAATAAATATTTCATATATATATATATTTATATATAAATATCAAATTTCCAGAAAATAATATAGATTATATTTATATCTTTAATCCTAAATATCTAGAGAAATATTTATTAAACATATAAATAAGTTTCATCAATATAATCAAAATTAATTTATCAAGAATATATAAAAATATTTTATTCATAAAATTAAATAAACAAAAATTCATTATCTTTAAGAATTTAATATATATATATACATATTTATATAAAATTTAAATATAAAATAATTCATTCCGGAAATCTAAATTGTATATTAATATAAAAATATATAAATTCGATATATAATTCGATATTTATATATATATAGTAATTATTTCCAGAGATCTAAATAAAATATATGTTTAAAATATAATATAGAAATATATATATATAATTTTTTTAAAATTCAATATTAATATTAATTTAGATAATATTACAATTAAACCATATAAAAAAATAATTTATATAAAAAATGCAATGTTTAATTAAATATTAAATAATAATAATAAATTTTGTAATAAATAAATCAAATATATATTACTATATTTATTCATCTCAAGAATATATATATTTATATTTAATTTTTAAATTAATTCCCATAGAAACGGCTAATTTATTTATTTTATTAATATAACCATATTGTTAATCAAATTACTACGACCCGACGTGGTAACTTACCCCATCGCACATGAATTTGACCCACCCCCATGGCACATCGCTTACCCCACGAATATAAGAACTTACCCCATTTGGAAAACACAATGGCACACCGCTTCGAAACAAACATTTTTTCTCCTAGATTGTTTCTAAACCTACACTATTCCATTGCGATT